AGCTCCTATACGACCTGGAGGGCAGCATCCAGGAGCGCATTGAGCGCATTGGAAAGGCCATGTACGGTGCGGAGAAGGTCGAGTTCAGCGAACTGGCGCAGAAGAAGGTCGACACCTACACGGCGCAAGGTTTCTCCAATCTCCCGATCTGCATTGCCAAGACCCAGTACTCCCTGAGTCATGATCCCGCGCTCAAGGGCGCCCCGACGGGCTTTACGGTTCCCATCCGTGATGTTCGGCTGGCGGTTGGAGGTGGATATCTGTAAGTTCTTGTTGCATCACATGGCTCCAGCGGATCAATCGGCTAACCAGTGGATGAACCCACACAGGTACGCACTTGCGGCAGACATTCAGACCATCCCCGGATTGCCGACTGCTCCGGGTTATCTGAACGTTGATATTGACACCGAAACCGGGGAGATTGATGGCCTGTTCTAGGCTGATGAGATCATCCCTTGCGGTGTTCAGTGCTTTTCTCATTTTCGGAGTGATGTTCATCTCCTCCGGTTTTATACCATATCATTGATTGAGATGTACACTTTAATTCAACATATATGAGCATGACGACATTGGATTGGGGCTTTGTGTCTAGAAGCGGATGGTCTTCAACATGCTGGGATGGAAATAGGATGCGGAGACTCGGAGTTGGTCCTAAGCTCCCCGAATCGTGTGACAGAGCTAGTTGTGATAATAGTGTCAAATAACATAGAAATGACAAGACGAAAAATTCCACCAAACCTGCGACGTATCTGAGACTGTTATTTATCGACTCGGAATAATTAATCATCGATATTATCACTCGATAACTCGAATCTTTCACCGTAGCCAATTCCACTCTCATGGTGTACCAAAAGATCCGCATATAGGCGACTTCGGTGTATCGCTTTCCGGCGGTAGTATCATGGCACTTCCGTTGCCGCGGGAAACAGTGGTTATTTTTGATGTACACCTCTCATTTCAGAGGGGGAAAAAGGAACAATATTAGTAGAAAACAATATAAGGATGATAACTATATGAATAATACTGAGTATCATGGGGATTCTGTGTTAGTAGTAGAAAGGCAGGATCATGAACATTATTGCCGTAGTGTCAGCGGGTTCATGGTAGTGGTTCATTCGAAATGTCCGGCTTCGGCGCTCTGAGCGGAGTTCCAAGTCCTGCTAAGGGAAAAAAGGTCAACAAGAACAACTAACTCAGATCAGTTGAAGGACGTGAGGAACAACAAGAATCAGTCATAAAGCAACCGGGCAAAGGCTTTTCCTGTTGGGATAAGAGGCCGCTTTCTCCTTCATCCTCTTGGACCGGATCTCTTCACTTGAAAGTGTCTCCCCCCAAATCTTCTTCCCAACCCCCAAACTATTAACATCATTCTCCCCTCATCCACCGTTAAGCAATTTTCCGGGCGGTCCGTTCTGCCCCGTGCTGCCCCAGAAATTCAGCAAGTGAGAGCTCCTGAATCAGTAAGTCCTGCTTGTTTTCTGACCATCCTCTCCGGCTTGACGGCTGCTTCCGACTCCACTGTCCTCCTTCCAGCCGAGCCTCTTCCTGTTATTCCCTCGGGTACTGCGAGTCTGCGAGTCTGCAAAGTCCACGCTTGGCTGACTGAAGCAAACTTGTTCTCTCCTTAGAAGCGAAGCGGAAGTGCCGATTTGCGAACCCGCCTTGGAGCCGACCAATATCCCGCCATAATAGTCTTTCGTCTCCAATAGGACCGAGACATAGAGTCAGCGAGGACAGGCGCGCGAGAGTGTTATAGTCAAATTTCCCTATCCCAGATCGATATGAGTTCCCTCCGTTTCAGTTCCGCTTTTGCGCGACGTTCCCTTCACGCCTGTGCCCCTCCTCGATCTGCCCCTCTCTATTCCTCCGCTGTTCGCTATTCCTCCCTTTCCTCTTCTACTTCTTCCGTCTCCTCGTCTTCCTCTTCTTCCTTCTCTACCTCTGCTGCTGTAGCTCGTCCTCAGCGTACTCTTGCTTCATCCTCGCTCTCTGCTTCTTCCCGCTGGTCCGGAGTAACCTCGTTGCATTTGACCCAATCCCGCACCATGGCCACCGAAGGTACCAAGATCAAGGTCAAGAACCCAGTCGTTGAACTGGACGGTGATGAGGTAGGTTTTCACTCGTCGGATTTGAAATTCGAATTCGATCTGCGGCTAGATCGCTTTCTTTTCTCCCCGTCCTTTATATAACCTTTGCTGGTTTCCCTGTCACAAGCGCGTCGGATGCGCATTTTCGTCATGGGTCTGCGAGAACGCGGGGAAAAACGGCGGGCAACGCCTGTTGTGCCTGGGCAAGCTGTCAATCTTCCGAGGATCATGACTCATACGGACAACGAAACGATGCTCTCTCAATTCATATGTTGTTTGTTTTTTGATGAAATGTGGGCTAACAATTGGTTTTTCAATTACTCTAGATGACCCGTATCATCTGGCAGGAGATTAGAGAAAAAGTAAGTTCTTCGTCCTCCTTCCTCCCACGTTGCCGCCGTCAGCCCTATCTGCATGCGGGCCGTTCCTCTCCGAAGCTTCGCAATCAATCACATCCTTTGTCTTTCGAGCTAAGACTTATGTGACTGACTCATTGTCTCTTTGTAGTTGATCCTACCGTAAGTTTGTCCTGTCGACTGTCTTCGCCGGACTGCCATTGGGATGTGAACTGAGATTCCGGACTAGTTACCTTGACATTGACCTCAAGTACTACGACTTGGTATGATATGCTCTTGATGTTTGACAACGCAAGGCCTTGACGCTAAACTTGTTCTTTCTAGGGTATTGAATACCGTGACCAGACCGATGACAAGGTCACCGTCGAGGCTGCTGAGGCTATTAAGAAGTATGGCGTCGGTGTCAAGTGCGCCACCATCACCCCCGATGAGGCCCGTGTTGAGGAGTTCAAGCTGAAGAAGAGTAAGCATTGCTGCCTCACTTCCTTGAACCATTTTCTGACTAGTTCCTCAAGTGTGGCTGTCTCCCAACGGTACCATCAGAAACATTCTGTATGTTGTCCTCAATCTACTGGTTCTCCTTCCGGTCAGATGCTAATCTCTTGCAGGGGTGGAACTGTCTTCCGTGAACCCATCGTCATCCCCCGTATTCCTCGTCTTATCCCTGGCTGGAACAAGCCGATCATCATCGGTCGTCACGCCTTCGGTGACCAGTACCGTGCTACCGATATTGTCGTCCCTGGGCCCGGTAAGCTCGAGCTCGTCTACACCCCTGTGAACGGTGAGCCCGAGGCCATCAAGGTCTACGACTTCAACGGCGGCGGTGTTGCCCAGACCCAGTACAACACCGATGATTCCATCCGTGGCTTCGCCCACTCCAGCTTCAAGATGGCCCTGATGAAGGGTCTCCCCCTGTACATGAGCACCAAGAACACCATCCTGAAGAAGTACGATGGTCGCTTCAAGGACATTTTCCAGGAGATCTACGAGTCTACCTACAAGAAGGACTTTGACGCCAAGGGTATCTGGTACGAGCACCGTCTTATTGACGACATGGTTGCTCAGATGATCAAGAGCGAGGGTGGTTTCGTTATGGCTCTGAAGAGTAAGTTCGCCCTCGTGTCTGTCCATCATCAATGTCTTGTGCTGATTGATTTGTGAAGACTACGACGGTGATGTTCAGTCCGATGTCGTCGCTCAGGGTTTCGGCTCCCTTGGCCTGATGACCTCCACTCTGACCACCCCTGATGGCAACGCCTTCGAGTCCGAGGCCGCCCACGGTACTGTCACTCGTCACTACCGTGAGCACCAGAAGGGCCGCGAAACCTCCACCAACCCCATTGCCTCGATCTTCGCCTGGACCCGTGGTCTGATCCAGCGTGGCAAGCTCGACGACACCCCCGACGTCGTTGCCTTTGCCGAAGAGCTCGAGCGCGCCTGCGTTGACGTCGTCAACGACGAGGGCATCATGACCAAGGATCTGGCTCTGGCCTGTGGCCGCAAGGAGCGTGAGGCCTGGGTTACCACCAAGGAGTACCTGGCTGCTGTTGAGCGTAGACTCAAGTCCAACCTCAAGGCCAGACTGTAAGCGGTTGACTCGTTTCGGTTCGTTTATTCTTTGATTTGCATTGATTGTACTCAAAATACCATTTTCAGCATGACGGCTTTTCTGGAATAGCCGTAATACAATTTTTTTTGGATAGATTCGGTTTTCTTGTTCAAGACTTACTCGCAGCAAAACAGCTTTCCTTGTTGATGTTGAAGCTGCCTGAGGCATGCTGTGTTGTGCTTAAGGTTGCAGACTCGCAGTCCCACTCAAGCCTCTGCGGTCAGATAGCTTCGCCTTAGCTCAGCATCTCGCTCACTAGATGGCTCGCATTCTATGCGGGTTTTGTCTCTCGACATTATTCTTCACGAGTCAAATGCTCCTCTTTTAAACTTTTCGGAATACCAACGCCAATTGAGTCTGTTGACTGTTCTACCTATTCCCCCAAAAAAGTGAGAGGGGTATCAGAGGCCTTGCGAAGGTAAGGGGCCCTCATGCCTGATCCGGTCACGATGTCTCGGGCTGGTATGTAGGGGGCCATTCAATGCACGAACTTGATCCACCACCCTCACAATTGAACCAATATCGCTTCGACACTCGACAGGCGAAGAAAAGAACTTTCAGATGTTCCAGTCCGAATTGTGCATTGTGCATGGAGCGGATCTGAAAATATATCCCCCGGTATACTGAATGGAACCAGGGATCGGACATCAGACCTGTACAGGTTTGAGGTGTCCATATGCGGAGATCAAGAAACTCAGGCAAAGGAAGCCGCCGAACCATGGGGCCTCATGGCTTACGGGGGTGCTGATGGACGATCCAGATGCGGGCAGAGTTCGGGACTTGCACGCTGACGCAACAGAGTCACATTCCAAGAAGGTTGCCTTAATAAGCACTTGGCCACAGCAATATTTCTTCATTCAATGCAGAGACATCAGGAAGAAAAGTCTGCAAGATGTTCTAAGAATATGGAGCAGCTGCTAGACAATTGAAGATTGAGAGCTGTCAAAAATGCCGTCGCCTCGTCACGGCGGCTCTCTTCAACTATGTATGAGACGACCTCGATACTGGGCGTTACCACTGCATTCTTAATAGTTTCGACCTTGACGGTTGCCCTGCGATTGTTCACTCGCTTTGTGATTGTTCGAACACCGGGTTGGGACGATGCATTGATTGTTGCGGCAGTGGTAAGCTCTTGAACTGGTCGCTTGATTGATGCGAGAGCACGACTGGTTGACGGACCAAGGGAACAAACTATGTCTTCTATGCGTTTCTGATCGTTGGTAAGTTACCGGCCTGTGTGAGCCCGGGGCTTAAACTTATCCTTAACTAGAACTTCAACACCACTTGGGAGAGAAAGAAGGTACAGCCAGCGAGTATGATATACAGTGTCAGCTCAAGGTACGTGCTTCATACTTGAAGTGCAGCAATGATAGCTAACTCTAATCGCAGGCCCTCTGGGTCTCCATCCCATTCTATAATCTCACTCTTGCGCTGACCAAAATCTCCTTGATCATACTGTATATGCGTCTCTTCGCGGCCACGAACAAACGCTTCCGCACCCTTCTCATCGTCTTTCTTGTCTTCATCATCATTGTCGGCCTATGGATCGTCCTCAGCAACTTCTTGATATGCATCCCGGTCCGCGGGTTCTGGGACCGCTCCGTTCCATCCACATGTCTCTCCACCACGGTAGTCTGGTGTCTCAATGCTGCGCTGCAGATCGTGACGGATATAGTGGTCGTCACGACCCCGATACCCACGCTCGCACGGCTACGTCTACCAGGCAGACAAAAGTTCGCCGTGATATTAATGTTCGCCCTGGGTTTTTTGTACGTCTCCCGCCTTCTCCCTTCATCCTCCAACCCTCTACTAACGCCACCAGCGTCTGCGCAATGAGCATCATCCGCCTCGTTGCAATCATCCGACTCGTCAGCGGCCACGACTTCTCCGGTACGTTTGCATGCCCCATGGATATGACCCGCAGGACTGACAGACATAAGAGCGCAACGGCCCCGCAGCAACCTGGTCCTCGATCGAAGCCAACATCGCCATCATCTGCGCCTGCCTACCACCTCTCCGCCCGCTCCTCACCCGTATCTCCCCGTGCCTGCTCTCCCCGCGCCCGCGCCCCCGCGGCACCCTCAGCCAGCGCGAAAAGGAGCCGCACTCCGCCTACTCGTTCAACCTTACTAACCCGTTCACTATGACGAGCGGGAATTACTCGGCTAGTGTCACGGGGAATTGCTCGGTCAATGGGGATGAGATGCTGGACACGGAGGGGATCCAGGTTGTGAGGGAGCTGAGGTGGGATTCGGATGCTGCGCGGAGAAGGTCCGGGAGTACTGGGGAGAGGGAGAGGGAGAGTAAGAGGAAGCAAAGACAGGATTCGGGGTTTGGGGGGTGATTGGCTGAGTTTGGACTCCCTGGTTTTCAGGCGGGAATGTATAGATCATCGTAGTTTTGCAGTGTTTATAGACTTGGTATGGGAGGTATCCTGTTAGTCTATATGGAAACACGATTATGATCTGAGAGTGGTGACTCGGTAACTCTTCAACACCTGAACCGACGTCGAGCAGGATACTGGTCCTGACTATTATTTATACCTGAGAACACGAAAGAGATGCATAGTGCTGGGTTAATTATGCTCAAGTACATCCATGCTCGACCAATTACTGAGGAACAAAGGTACCATTCTTACACTCGAACCCAAGTTTGGGGTTCAGCTCCGCCGTAGCCTTCATGCAAATCACGCTCGGCGAGTCCATACCTTGCGGGTAAAGCTGGATATTCTCGGCCCGGAAGTTCTTGCAGGAGGCCTCGGTATTGCACTCGAGCACGATGGCCTCGGTATGTTTCAGATTCGGGAGACCGGCGTTATACCAGCACGGATCGGTGACGCACGACCCATCACCGGGGTGGTAGGTGTTGATGGAGCCCGAGAAATCGGACCAGGTGAAGTCCTCCATCATGACGGACGAGGAGGGGTCGACGGTGCCCGGCCGCGAGGCGCCCTGGTCCCAGTAGCTCTGGGTGACGAAGATGGGGAAGGAGACGTTGTAGACGCGGATGTTCTTCCAGGCGACGTTCTTGACGAGGCCCTGGCCGCCGGACCAGGACTTGAAGCGGGCGGCGTAGAGCGCGTCGATGACGGTGACGTCCTCGAAGCGGAGGTTGGTGATGTTGGCGAAGTCGGTGGGGTCTTTGCCCAGCGAGCCGATGCTCATCCCGTGCGACTGGTAGCCGATGGTGTTGCGGGCGAAGACGATGTTGTGCGAGGGGGAGCCGACGGCGATGGCGTCGTCGCCGTTGTACATGATGCTGTCGGTGATGCGAATGTTGGTTCCCTGGACGTCGAAGCCGTCGGTGTTGAAGGGGAACCCGCCCGTCGATTTGGCGTCGATGATGGCGTGGGTGACGGTGATGTCGTCGCCGTGTAGCTTGACGTTCCAGGCGATGGGCTTGCGCGAGCGGAAGTTCTTGATCGATGCCTGGCTCGTCGTGTAGCTCATCAGGTGTGGCCGGTTCGGGAAACTGCTGCTGTTGGCTGGGTTTGCGTTCCACCAGGCCTGGCCGTACGAGTTGATCCAGCCGTTGTTGATGTCGTCGGGTCCCGTCCAGTCGACACGGGGGCCCTCGAGTGTGAACCAGGTCGATTGGCCGGATTTGACGATGTTCTGTACGGCGGTGATGTTCTGGGGAAGATGCAGGTTCCCGAGCATTCGAATCTCGACATTGCTGAGATTGGTCGCTTTGATGGGGTGGAAGATGTTGTAGTCAACACCCTCCTGGAAGGAGATGATCGAATTCTCGGCGCATTGGGCAAAGGCGCTGGCGACGGCAGGGGAATCATCTGCCGTTCCCTGGGAGGATGCGTAGCTCGAAGGAATCACGCATTTTTTCGAGCGAGCTTGTATCGAGTGACTGGGAGCTCCCAGGGCCAGGGGGACAAGAGAGGCAAGAATGCCCAGAAAAGCTGGGTTGGTAATTAGCATGATGAATTGTGCAGAAGAGTGGTTGCCGAGACACATAGTTACCCTGCACGCATGAGTCAACGAATTTAAATAGTTTCAGTCAGGATAGCTCTATGGAGCAGGACCCTGAGGAGCTACTCTCGCACGGAGAAACTCGAAAGCTACATGTCTTGTATGGATGGAAATTTGAGCTCCACCTGTATAGAGCTGATCAGAACCAAGATGGATGCCCGAGGATGGGGGTCGCATGCGTCGCATTGGTGGAGGAATCGGGATGGAGACTGGGGAACTGTCTTAAGGTTCAGGCTTTTACTACCACAATATGGGGTACTCCATAGCTGAGCCTGTTGAGACTGCTCCGTAGCCAGGCAGGCTGAATCTGCTCAATTGAATAGCCGAGTTATCGTTGCGAGATGAAGATTTTGGACATCTACTTGGGGTCTTGATCTAGACTTGGGGCCTTGCAGCCTCAGGCTCTGACTCTTTACACCTGACTTTACTAAACTCCAGCTTATGTGGAGATTCATCACGGCCGATGATCTAAACATTATTGAGACAACAACAACCTCGGGTGACCTCCGCTAGACAACTTGAATCACCAACTATCAGTACTCACCTTCAGGCTACTGCCTCTACTCAATCTCAACCACACTCATCATGACATCTACGTCTACATATCCATCCCCATCCCCATCCCTCAGCTCCAGCTCGACCCCCAACATCTCCGCATCTGACGCCGTTCTCCACCTCAGCAGTGCCACACACATCGACGCACCCTCACAAGATGTCTGGAACGCCCTAATCGACACCTCTACCTGGCCAACGTGGAACACCTTTGTCCCGCGCGTCACCATCCGCGAACAACCAGACTCCCCTGATGCCTCCCCTGACTCCCACTCCCCAATGCTACAAAAGGGCACCAAAATGACCTTCCACGTACACATGGATCCCTCGTCCACTAAGCCGCAAAAGGCGAACGATACCCAGCTTGTGGTCATCGAGTTTGAGCCGCCGAACCCCAGCGCCAAGAAACCCGGGCGGATTGTGTGGGCTAGTGACCCCAGTGCCAAGGGCGGATTTCCTGCTTCGCTGCTGACGGCGGAAAGGGTACATGAGATTGTGGAGGTGGAGGTTCCTGGGGAAGATGGGCAGATGAGGCGGGGGACTGAGGTGCGCAATTGGGAGGCCCAGGTTGGGTATTTGGTGTATATTGTGCGGTGGATGTTTGGGGGTCGATTGAAGGAGAACTTTGAGATTTGGGTACGGGATTTGAAGGGGTATGTCGAGGAGAAATCGTCAGGAGCATGACTATGTGTGATGAATGATAGGATTGGGTGTGTGACAATTGCGAAGTGATGCAAATCGTGATCGACAGGTTGCAGGCCGGGGGTTCCGGAACCCGGACTGATTTGACGGGGTTCTCAGACGGCTGACATGCAGGACATGATCAAGGAGACTGGGGAACGTTGAATATGTGGCCGCATCAGCTGTTCCAGGTTTATCTACCACTTGTTTGAGTATTTTGATGCAGCTCGGCTGAGCGACATGATGCAGTGGAACTACGGCACAAGGAAGCAAACTGATTTACTACGAATGTTCGTGTAACAGAAACCGACTTCAAGGAAGCTGATGTGATGATTCCTTGATTTCTGATGACACTAGGTAGCATCTTTAGCAAAGACACATACCCTTTAGTATTAGATGCTCTTACCCCGCGTCAACCATAAGGTTTGAATGAGTCAATTTCAACGAATCATGGACATGGTCATAGTCCGGGGCTGTTGAGAAATGGATAAATATAACTTGCTCCGGAGTTCAAGAATAAGACTGAGCTTGGTGAGACCGGAGGAATGGTTTGGCGAGACCATAGCCTTATAGATAGCATGGGCTAACTTTGGCTAGATACTGACTAAATCAAAAGATTTCGGTCATGACGTCGCATACTGCCGATGAAACCTGATCGAAGGCAATTGAAGCCATGTTAACGCCTTTAGTGCAAGGTTAATGAGTGTTCTTAATTCTTTGTGGAGCAAGGATCAGCCTCTGACTTGCGTAAAGGTGGAGCAGATGTCTCTAGTCAGTAGTCACTAGTACTAGTAGTACTCCGAAGTCAGCAATTTCCCTGCTCGAGCCTCTCACACGTGGGGGTGGAGATTGGCTACGAACTGATCGGGTAAATAGTTCAATATTTACGGACAGGCAAGGGCTTCTTTGACTAGACTATGAAAACAAAGAGTCATGAATATGGGGGCTCATGATAATTGGTTTTTGGTAGAGAACCCTTGTTATCTCCATGTCGAATGCGAATGCTTATCAAGACTTGTGCCTGTTCTGACTTCTGCGGGCTGTTCTTTATCTGTTGTTGCTCTCCGACGCGGAAATGACAGCCGTTTGGGCGCTTCCGGGTAATTTCGTGGCGTCCGAGCGGAGACGGACCGATACCCACCGGGTTACCCCATTGGGTCGACCGGGTAATCCACTAGACCTGTTTGCGTTTAGTGGCCGTGCTTGGGAACTGCAGAAGCGCCGAAGAACTAGGCTGGACCCTGTTCGCGGTATCTTCCTTACCATACCGTTACATGGAATTGAGAAAAATGACAGGGAATCTCGAAGTATGCAAAGTAAAAATAGTCAAGTTTTGTTCAAGCATCAGTGAAGGCTGTCTCGAACTTGATATAGACAGGCAGGAGAGTATTCCTATTTCGAAGATCATAGGGACCATGACCTAATGAGTAGGATTGATGCCTTATACCGGTGTACGGAGTAAAGAGGATTATCTCTAATTTCAGTTTACAAGATCCATGTTACTGTAACCCTTGATGATAGGCAGTGCTACCTTGCCTAAGCAACAATAGTAATAATAATAATAATAATACCTTAATAGGTGACTCCAAGTGTAACAGTAGTAAAATGAGAGTCATCGTATTTATCTTGATTGTGATAGATAATAATTCCTTGTTTCATCCGTGGTTCTCCATCTCAAGATTAATCTCGTTAATCTAAGCTCCTCGTCGATCCCCAACTTTTTCCCTCTCTTGTGATTCGATTTTTCCATTTTCTTCTTCTTCTTCAGTCGCCCTCTTCTCTTCCTCCCTTCATTTCCTTCATTTCCTTCCTTTCCTTCCTATCTTATCCCTCTTGCAGCGCCTTCCATCATGTTTTCGGTCTTTCATCGCTTGCGTCTCTCCCTCATTCTGTCTTTCTCCGCTCCCAGTTTCCTCTGACCACCGTCTCCGTCCGGGCCTGGATCCAATCACTTCCTCTGTTACCGCGTCACACGCATCGCCACTCACATCATCTTTAAATACTCGTCCCCAGACTCGTGTCTCTATAGATCCATAGATCGTGTTCGATCATCTCGCCGCTTCATCCAGAGTATGCGCATTGGTTGCCCGCCTGTCTGCCTATTACTTACTCGCTTGTTGCGTCAGAC